TGCTGTCTGCACAGAGAATGGCCGACATTCTGTCTCCTGCAAGGTGCCAACTGAAGGTGTTGGAAAACAAAGAGATCAGGTGGCTTCCTTGTCCAGAAAAGAGGCACAGGCCAGAGGAGGGGCTGGACACAGTGTCAGTTTGGAGCTGGCTGGGGGAACGGGGAGGCCCAGAACTTGGGTCTGTACTCCCCACCCCCAAAGATGGACCTGACTGTGTTCCTTCTGTTTTACTGGCTGTTACTGATCAATGGGAGCTGCAGGAAAGGTGTCTGCAGGCAAGGATGGCATGTGGAGACCTCCTGGTCTGCCTTTCTCAGAGGCTGCAGGGACATGCCAGCCATGTGCAGGAGCAGCAATTACCATAGGTCAAGCATTTTAGAACTCACTACTCAAAGAAATAAATGTAGGTGTAAGAGAGAAATGAAAATTTTGAAATGCACAGACCAGTCAAAAACCAAAACGAATCCACTCTGCAAGCAGTAAAAGAAGTAACAATAACCCCCCACGTGTATGTTGGGTCAGAAGAGGAGAATGAAGGACAGTGTGCATGTGTGAGAATGACAGAGATAAGACAGGACTATGTTGCACCTTAAAGACTAACAAGATGGTTTATTAGGTGACGAGCTTTCATGGGCCATGTGTGAGCTGTGCTTTTGCACAAGAGCATCTATGGCAGTGTGGATGCTCTCTTGCCCAGGAAAGTGCCGATGGCCATTTTAGCCATAGGGGTTTCTTGCGCAAGAAATCCCTGCCGGGCATCCACACTGCTCTTGCGCAAGATGCCCTCTCTTACCATGCTGTACTGTAAATTTCCTTGCGCAAGAGCAAGCGGGCAGTGTGGATGCTCCATGGGTTCCTGCACAAGAACAGCTGTACTTGTGCAAAAAGCCGTGAGTATAGACATAGCCTTAGACGGAACACTTCCCCCGAGCCTCTCAGTCCCCAAGTTAATATCACCCACACTGGGTTAATGCAGCTGCAGGATAGTTGCATGAGGGGGTGTTGGTGAGGGGCCAAACTAATCTCTCTTGGTAGGAGGATGGTGGGAAAAGCCCTTCGAGAGGGGTGACATGACACCTTTTACTTCTGGTCATGTGTTCATCTTGCCCCGAGCGTGTTACCTCCAGAGGCGTGGCTAATGGGGGGGTGTCAAGGGTGTGGCTAATGGAGGTCGGGGACATGGCTAACAGGGGCCAGGGGGCGTGGCTAATGGGGCAACACCAAAAAGTATACAAACCTGCTGTCCATGTAAAGGTCAATACTAATACTTTATTTTCTAAAGGCGGTGAAAAAGGTATCTTGCTCTTTGTAAGTAAAAATGTTTATTCTTAAGGTAAAAGAATTAAAAAGAAAACATATTCAAAACAATAAAAGTTCCTACATGTGTTCTAAAAGCTTACCAGAGGTCACTGCTCAGTCATATGAGGCTATGATAGGCCAAACTCTTTCCAGCTCTTCTGCAAGGATCAGGGCTTGCATTGGTTAGAAATTCTTGTCTGTTTAGTGGCTCAGAAGTTACTGAATCAGTTTAAACCCAGATATTTACATTAAAAGATTTTCCTGTTGACTTGTGAAGGGGTGGTGGTACTCTGGCAGTGTTTATAACCTGCCAAAGTGATTCACTTTAAATCCCTCCACACACTGTTTTTAGTTCCTGGTGAAGGTGTGTCAAGAGCTGTCCTTTTGGAGTTAGTGATACTTAAACAAAATACCCAAAGATATTGCATAAGGTTGCAATATTTGTTCTAAAGAGAAGGAAGAATTCTTTTTGTTTTTATTGACTAGATTTCAAGTTGATGGTGCCTCTTTTGTATATCCTTTAAAAGGATATGCAAAAAAATCTAAAAGGAAATGCCTTGCACAATAAGCACAGTTTTATCTTTCCCGTTTTCCTCATATAACACTCCATTAAATGTTTAGTACTTACCAGTATTTTTCTCTTTACAAAAAGTTTAATTTCACTTGCTATACTGAGTTCAGACTTCATCTGAGCGTGTGACCTCTGTGAATGTCCCAATAACTCAACCATTGGGTCTTATTGTAAATTTATATGGTATATGTCTTGGTTGAATGAATCATCCATTCTGATGGAACAATTTGGGAGACTTTGTTTATTGGCTGTGTATGGACAGAGAAGATTAAAATTTATAAGACTTCTTCCTGGTAAGTCTATGTTCAAGCATTTTACGTGTATTAATGATAGCTGGCACTGTAACTGATGACACTGAATATGAAAGATTTTCTGTATGGACAGTCATGTCTTACGTGAATGATTTTGAGGCTAACAGAAAGAAGGCACTGATGGATTTCCTGGCAGAACTGTAGCTTTAGACATGGAGATTGTTTATCTTGGCATCACATACCAAGTATTTTTTCTGCAAGTAAAAACAACAACAAAAATCTAAAATTATGTAAAATTCTATCACTATTAGTGAAGGTGGTAGTTAAAGAGTTTATTTTTATTTGATAAATGGTACCTCTGTAATGAAGACTAGATTATTTGTGACTTTCCTTTATTTTAGTTGCTGGAAGGCTCCATGATGTCTAGCTCAACTGGGGTTAGTTGAGGTTTTCCTGTTTTTACAGTCTGTTAAAGCCTATTTCATGTTGGAAAAATTTGCCATTTAAACAAGGAATAGTTTGTTCAGCTTTAGTCCTTTATAAATGTACATGAGTCTGAGCAACTTGATTCATTTAGCATCCGTATAATGCTTTATTGATAAGTAATTGGACAAAAATGGCTGGTTGTCTCTGATTCATTACTAGATGTTTTGGATGCCAAAGTTCTTCATTTTCCAACATGCCAAAGAACTAATTGGGAGCTATTAATGAATTATTAATAATCGTAAATGATGATAGTTTTAAAATGTACATTCCTATGTAATTTTCACATGCCAAATTCTTTTTCAAACTGCAGTGCGTAATGTGACTTTTTAAGCATTCTCTGAATGTTTTGGGGTTTTTTTGTTAGAGATAAAGTGCCGTAAACATATGAGCAGTTTTAGGGTCTGATCCTTCAGAGTTTTGAGAACTTTGATTATTTTGGCCTATTAGTCCCTATGAGCTTTTTTCATTAGGGAAGAAAATAGGAGTTTCTGTTAGGGATACAGGGGCAGCAGTGCAGGGTGGCAGGTGGCTCCCCTGCATGCTCTTCATTTAAAACTCGTACCTGTGGGCTAGGACTGAGCCAGCCTGCTGGTCCAAGTTTTAAATGCAGAGCACATGGGATGTGGGAGAATGGTGTTGCTGTTAACTGTGGCTGCTTATCAGTTAGCCCGGGGCGGGGAACTTTTTTTGGGTTGGGGGCAATTGAACCACAGAAAAATCAGTAGGGGGCCACACACAAGTGAGAAACAAACAAAACCAAAAACAAATCCTCACCGATGTGGCACCCAACTGAGAAGGAGAACGAGGCTCCCTACATTCTTCTCCCACACTAGAGCCTAGGAGGCCCAGCCTAGTAGATTTTCTGTGCTCCAGCCCTGCAGTGGCGCAGAGGGGGAGAGGGAGAGAGTGAGGAGGGGACTGGAGCAAGCACCAGCACAGGCTCTCCAGCTGCCTTGGGGGCTGGATTCAGGCAATTGAGGGGCCTCATCCAGCCCCTGGGCCTGAAGTTCCCCACCCTGAGTTAGCTGGTTAACTGAGTAACCATTACGATCCCTAATTTTTGCATTTTCTGTACAATCCAGGACCCCGCTTTGTCTTTTTATTCTTATCCTGTTTTTATGCAACACACTGCAAAATTATCCCAGTCTTACAGAGATAATGTCATAGTATTTTGTTCTCCTGGATGGACTGTTCTGCAATATCACTCACTTCTGAGTACTTCCAATTCTCCACTAGAATGACGTGCATGGTGCATGCTACAGGTTGGACTTCCCTGATCCTGCACCCTTGGGATGTGACTGGTTCCCAATGAGGGATTTTGCCACACCTGGGGAGGTCATTTTGTTACTGTCCATATTCCCTTCAGTATCATGAGACAAACTGAAAATAAAGACATTCAATGGTTAATGCTGGTTTCAGTAATTTGCACTTGTGGAAAGAATAGTTTGATCTGCAGATAGTGTCAGGCTGAGCATTCAAGTTCCTGGTTTCTCTTGGTTCATGTGAATCTCTTAACATGACTTATTGAAACTAAATCAGTTTCTCACTTTAGAGGTGAAAAGGGATTTCTGACATTGATTTGGTTTTAGTTCTGTTGGGAATAAATATTTGAAATTTGTTTTAAAAAGTGATTTAATATTGAGAACTTTTCTAAATACCAGTCCAAAGCAGCGTTCCCTGTAAACTCTGAGTGCACTTGGGCAACTACCCAGAAGAGATTCAAATGCCAGCCACCTGATAAGCAGAGCGCCCAAAGCTGGCATCATGTGTTTCTATTGGTGGTACACATCTGCACATGTCTTGATGCACATAACAAAATTTATTCTGCTCATGGATGGAAAAAGTTAGAGGGAACATTGGTCCAGCATGAATTTGTAAATGCATCTACATCTAATTTGCCAACAGTTGTGACTTCTATGGCAGATTGGGAAAGTTTATCTGCCAGATTATCTCCATCCAAATAAATAAATTAGAAATTTTTTCAGAAGAGGCATGAATGTAGTATTTGAAAATATAACATTTTTAGGGTGATGTTTATTTAAATCTGATGGTTTATATATTGCAAGAATTGTCAACTCTATAATGAGATCTTTTACCTTTGTAAAACAATGCATAGTAACCATAACTTATATTTCAAGTCACTAAATGATTTAACATACTAGTGTAGCACATTTTATGGTCCCTGTTCCATTATTCTCAGTTGTGAACTGGCAGGATTGTATACACTGGCTTAAAAATGCATAATATTGCTGCTCTCCAAAGTGGGTGTAGTCCATTGAAGTAAGAATTCCTTGTAAATTAAATCAAGAGATTTAGAGAGTAATGTTTGTATGCAAATCTAAAGAACAACAAACAGAATAAATGTCTTTTCTTCTTTTCCCTAACTACTGCAGATGCTTCTAAAAATGACAGTGCAGTGTTAAATACATCTCATATTCCAGCAGTCAATCTGCCCAATTCAGTAACTTCAACAAAAAAAGAAATGCTCTCAACAACTCTTAAGGCCAATAATATTGTCACACACGGACCAGCGACCGAGAAGGATGAGTCAGCCTCATCTGTTACAGCTCATTCCACATCTGTTAGCCCCATTTCACAAGTGGAGGTGGATGCTTCTGAAGATACTAAAATTGAGGAAGAGGGTCTCCTAACAGACTTCAAAGATATATCTAATAGTTCACCACCAACATCAAAAGAAACTATGGAATCTGATGGACAGGATGACTATGGCCATTATGAGATGACATCCAATTCTAGATATAATACAGACCTGGATTTGCGAGAAGATGAGGAGACTGATACCTTTGACAGCTACAGTGAGCACGTGAAATCTCTTGATGCCAAGATAAAGGACTCTGTCTCAGAATTGGAAGAAGAAGACACCCATTTCTTTTTCCACTTGGTTATTATTGCCTTCTTAGTAGCTGTAGTTTATATCACATATCATAATAAGAGAAAGGTACGTATATCCTGAAAGGAAGACACAAAATTCCTCTTTAATATTTCAAGAATTGGCTTTGAAACATGGAAAAACTTTTTTATAAAAACTACTTGGTTGTGCTAATGGTCTAAGTACATTTACAAACAGTATTCTGTTTTGTGACCTTAATATGCAGGTCATTAATATCCGTACAAAGAAGAAAGCTCACTTAAGAAATACAGTACAAGTATTTTAGGTTGGGTAAAAATCAATTAAATGATAACACCAGGAATCAGTTGAGTAATATGCTGTGATGGAATACATGATTTCTAGAAATAAGATCAAGGGAATTTTGAATGAAGGTGATTGATTGAACTAATTTTGGGTCTGCACGGGATTATATACCGCAATTTAAGGAAAACTTAATCTTTAGTAAAGCGAGACTGTTTCAGAGATATATTGGTAATGCTTACAATTGAGACCATTTTGAACTGTAGATATGCCTAGGATTTAACCCTTGCACTATCACAACTTGATAATTAACATGTTGTATTAGTTGTTAGAACTGCAAAAAAAGGTATTTCTGACTATAGATAATTGATGATAAAATCACACTTCCACTGAAATATTTTTCTCCAGTCTAATCAGAGCTGTCTTAATTCAGAATCTACAAATCATATAACATGACACACAAGTTAAACATAAAATGTGAGCTATTTTCTTAATGTAATGATCCAAGAAGTTTAGATTTATTTCTTCTCCTTTGCTCTTTCTTTATCCCTTTACTAAATTTTAATTATTTAGCCCTAAGTTTTATTGGCTCTGAAACTAACATGGGTAATTTATAACACATTATTTGCCAAAAATAATTGAATATGGATACAATTTTTAAAAATGCCCCTGACACTTTTTTGAAAATAGCACTTGAACTAAGGAACTTTTTATCTTGGTTGTCTGATCAGGGGATTTCTGTCTTCACAATTCTCATGGCTACAGCTTGATGCTTAGAATCTGCAGACTTTGCTTGGGTTACCATTGCATGCTCATTCATTGCTGGAGTGTAGCAACAGAAAATACTCTAGCACTGAAATTCCAGCAGTTGTTTCACTTCTGAAAGCTTGTATGCTATTAATATTGATGCTTTAACACAGGTGAAGCTCCATAATGGCAAAACAAATTGTGGGAGAAGTTCTTGGTGTGGGCAAGACCTGGGTTAGTAGCAAGTGGATTGAGAGTGGGGAGGAATACTTCAAGAGTACAGGTTGCTAGCATTGTGAATTTTAGCAACTGTCCTGTTGGTAGCTCTGGATATGGCTGTGTGATTGCAAATGTAGCTCTTACCTTAGACAAAAAGTGAAACATTTGCATCATGTTGTAATTTCATCTGTATCAAAATTGTGTTTGCTTCCAGATCTTCTTGTTGGTCCAGAGCCGAAGGTGGCGTGATGGTCTTTGCTCCAGAACAGTGGAATATCATCGTTTAGATCAAAATGTTAATGAAGCAATGCCTTCACTGAAGATAACAAATGATTACATTTTTTAAAAGCAGCAATTTGATGTATTAGTCATTTTCTTTGCCTGACTTTATATAAAATGTGCAGAGTCTGCTATAAAGAATTTGTGTTGAAATGAGAGATCTCTTGCCTGGATAGGTTTGAGATAGAAGCTCTTGTAAGATACAAGGCATGTAGTATTAGCATTTTAATTCTTAGTCAACAGTTAAGTTTCAAATCACATGTACAGGAACTAGATTTAATCAGTTTATTTCACTTTTTTCTTGTGTTTCATTTTGTGCTTCCGTTCCTTCTGGCTAGAGCAGTGCCAACATAGCTAATATAAAAATATGGGATAAAACATTTTAGATCTAATAAATTGAGTCTGCGATAACTGAATCAGATCAATGGTCCTTTTCTGCAAATCAGTTATATGGCTCATAAATCCTGTTTTACTTTTTTTGGAATTATTTTTGGAATTTTTTTTGAATAATATATAACTGGCACAGTGCTGCAAAAATTTCATCTAGATATCTTTTGGCTAACTTAGGCTCTTATGCTAGGCTACTAATGAGACAAACTTTATACTGATACTCTTCTCTAGATGCTTTTCTCCATAAAGTATTTTAAAATACTTATGTAGCAAGGATGACTTGATTTCAAGTTATGCTTTAAATTTGAAATATCACAGGTTTGTGTGAAAATATTGCTGCTTCTTGATTGCCCAAGATTTACTATAACTACACTTATGGAAACTTCATTATCTTTTAAAGATTTAGTGAACTAAAAATAAGCTTCATAGTATAATTTATAAAATATATCTAGCAGGTAAATGCAACAAAAACTTCCCCTAAATGTTAAGGCAGTTGTGGTATGCAATTGTGTGGTTTCTTCTTGACTACAAACATGTTAGGTCTGGGAATGAAAGTAATTAATTTTTTACATTATCCTAACTCATTGGCAGGGGGGGGAGAAATTAAAAGCATCTGGATTGTCATGGTCTCTGAACAACATTGCATCCTTTAATTCTGTCAATTTTTACACGTGAATTAGGTGTACAGCAAGTTATTGGTATGCTGAATTTTTTTTAACCTTGCTCTATGCAGTTCAACTAATTGTTTTTCCACGAGTTGTAAAATATACAATTTCATAGTTTCAATTTTTGTATATTGTTTGATTTATTTTTCAGAGATGATAAATATGTAAATAATGGTGAAATAGAACTACAATTAAGACTTGGTATTCAAGTGATAATGTACTGTTTTGAAAATAGTCAAAGCTTTACAGATGTTAGCATGAGAAGAGTTGATGGCATGATATTAGTGAAATAGTTCAACTTCTGAATTCTTAGTTACATGCTTTCTTTTGAATAACCATAAGAAAGTGAAGCATAAACAATATGCCAGAACTGTTTTCTTGCAGCAATTTTTATCATATTTGGACTTGTATCTCATAATATTTTGAATAATGTTTTTAAAATAAATGGGGAGAATATAGCTTCTGTCTTCATAATTTGATCAGTTTTTTAATATTTTCATGTTAAACTATTCATTTTTATTGGAATATGCTATTTGTTTTCTATTTAGGATTGAACAGCGCATTGCAAACTATTTTTTGAGTCTCAAAACAACTGTTTTTGCCATTCTTGTGGATTCACCCTGTGTAGAATACTCTCTCATTAAATAGGCCTTGTATAATGTGACAAGCTATTTGCACTTACCAGCACCTTTGCTACTATTCATCTCAACCCGGTTTAGTAAAGGAGTCAGGTTTTCAATTCATGTCACCTTGCACAGGATCACTTAATTTTTTTACAGTAGGAATGTAAAAATAACAAATTAGAAAAATGGTCAGGTGGGTTATTTTTAATCCATTTTTACCCTACTGTATAGACTATTGGGGGAGGGAGAAGTGGGGGGAAAGGGTCCAAGCCATAACACCAATGTAATAAATTTGTATTGAAACGATAACCAAATCTCTCGTTTTGTTTATAACTTTGTGGAGTTTATGGATGCAGTACTTTCTCCTTCCATTTGAGTTTTCAATTCTATGGAGTACAATTTCAGCTTCATTGATAAACTGTAGCTTTAATTAGGCCTCCTATAATTAATTTCTTGCTGAGAAGGGATGAAAAAACAATACTGTATTACAAGATATGCATTCTTTGTCAGTATTCTAGCAAATCCTTTCTGGAGAGAATGAGACACCTTGTCCTTAAGAATGGTGGCTTGAAATGTAAATGATTAAAACAATAACAGTTGACAATACTATTTTCTATTCCATTGTGGAGTTAAGATTTGTTTTCAGTTTCATGTTTAAAGTATGAGTGTACCACCTCTGTTTTATGTGCAAAATGTAGTGTATGTCCCAAATGTTCAGCACACAAATTCAGTAAAACTCTAGTCTTCTAATGATTTTCAAGAAAATTTGGTCAGTCTGAAAGTTCTGTTAATTAAAAAGCTCTTCCCATTCCCAAAATATTCTGAACTTCATAATTGTTCCTTTCTAGCTTAAGACATTGAAAGCCAAAAATGTACTCATAGTGAGCTTGGTGGATTCTCTGAGGTGGCTTGTTAATTAAACAAAAAATGTTGGTAGTCATTCTAAATCAATTTTTATGCACAATGGTTAGCTGACAGACCACGATTTACAGTGTCTTTGAGTTACTGATTAAATCAAAGATCCTTCAAGTGTGAAGGATCAGATGTGTGCATCTGTCACTGTTCCAGTGTAAACTGTGCCTTAAACACCCTTTCAGCCCTTCCTAGGAGCACCTCTGTTGGGATAGCCTGGCATCCTTCACTCTGTGGAATTATGCAGTCCACCCACTGTTAAACTGGATCTCAAGACTTCAGCACTCTTGTTTTCCCAGCCACATTAACAGGAAGGACTAAACAGCATTTGGCACCAGTAAGACTGTTCACTTTGGGGTATAGGTTGAAACTCTAAAGCCTGGTACTCTCTGGTCCAGCAACATTCCTGGTCCGGCAGGTACCACGTGCATTGCTGGACCAGAGAGCCCAGTTGGGAGTAGGGGCAGCTAGGGTCAGAAGTGCAGCTCCGACGAGTCGCTGCAGGGCTGTGCGCGCAGCCCAGGCTGACAATGGGGGGAATGCAGCCCCAGCTGAGGCTGGCAGCAGTGGGGCCAGCACAGCTGGGAGTGGCCAGGGCTGGTGCCCGGGAGTAGGGCTGATGGCCAGCAGGGGAGCCTTGACCTTTGCTGGTCTGGAAAACTCCCTGGTATGGGACTACTCGGATTCTGGATCAGGAAAGTCCAACCTGTATGACATTTGAAGTGACTCAAGAGTATCTTTATAACAAAGTTACACTTTGCTGTCAAAGAGAGCACAGCATTTAGGAAAATAAGTTAATGCAAGAGTCCCATTCACTTTTCCCTATCTAAATCTCTCTAGCTTAGCCTCTCCCGCCATGTAACTCAGTTTAGTCCAATTTCTTCTCATCTCTGGGCTGGGAGAGATAATGCTCTACCCAAACAGGCAAATCTTTCAGGGGTTTGAAAATTCTCACCTCTGAGTGACGTAGGTATTGCCAGTAATCCTCAGTGTAGACAAAACTCTGGGAGACTGCTTGTCAGCCTAGCTGATGTTGCTCAAGGTGGTGTTCTGACAGAACAACTTTTTCTTCGAGGTGTAAATTGTCTATAGCGTAGGATTTATACCAGTGTAGCTACAGAACCATAGCTATGCCAATATAGTCTCTCTGTAGAGTGGACATATCTTGAGTCAGCTTTGGGGTGTCTGTAGGCTGACAGCTAACCCATTCTCCTTCCTGAAGGCCCCATAGTTAAGCTTTAGGGATCCCTTTGATATTAGGGTAACAAAACATATAGATGACATCATGAGCTTTTTGTGGGCACAGCCCACTCCCATGAAAGCTCATGATACCATCTACATGTTTTATTAGTTTATAAAGTGCTACCAGACCATTTATTGTTTTTTTTGTTTTTTTTCTGTACAGACTAACTCGACTACCCCCTGAAGCTTTTGATATGAGGCTTAGCCTTGAGAAGAGTAAACCATTTTAGCCTCGATGGAGTCAGCTAGCTAGCTGCAACTTAATCCATAGATGCTATTCTCAGTCCTTTGAGAGGTTTATCCCAGGTCTCTTTGCCATTGTTTCATTTCCTATTTGGTTTTTCCTTTGACAGCTGCCTTTTTAATTTAATTGCTGGTTGATATCAAATAGGGCTGCCTCTCACATTGTGATAAGTACTTCAGTACTCTTGCCCTCAAATCGGGGGCGGTGAGGCGCTAGAATAATAGGATTGGAAAGGACTTCAAGAGGTCAAGTTCCAGTCCCCTGTACTCAAGGTAGGACCAAGCACCATCTAGATGAGTTTCTCAGAGTGGTCTACAAAATCACTCTGAGAAACCTGCTAACTCGCTGTTCTGGTGTGTTTTATTTACCAGCTCCACAGCTATAGAGGTAAATGAACACACCAGAGTGGCCAGTTAGCACTGATCTAGACCATGGATTCCCAACCTGGGGGGCATGAAAAAATTCGAGGGGGGGGGACCCAGTCCCCCTCCCCATCAAGTTTTGCTGCCCCAGTCAGTTCCCTTTTTTTGCTCAAGTTTTGCTCTTTGGGGGGTCTAAGGGTTTTTCAAAAATCAAAAAGGGGCATGATGCCGAAAAGTTTGGGAACCACTGATCTAGACCATCCCTAATAGGTATTTTTTCTAACTTGCTCCATTGGGGGAGATTCCACAACCTCCCTAGGTAATTTATTCCAGTTGTAAACAACCCTGATAAATTTTTTAAAGTAACTTTTAACTTGTTCTTTTCCCCTCGCTTTTGATCGTACTCAATTTTTCACTGATAGGCATCCAGTAGCCACCAAACTTTTTGGTGAAAACTGAAACAGTCATTAAGCAACTCTGCTATTTCCCTATTTTCTGTTATTGTTCCTCCCTTCATTAAGTAACAGTTCTACCCTGTCCTTTGTTTTCCTTTGTATCCAGAGAATTTTTTCTTGTTACCCTTTATGTCTCTAGCTAGTTTGAGCTCGTTTTATGCTTTGGTCTTTTTAAAATTTCACCTTTTATGTACGTGTGTGTGTGTGTGTGTGTGTGTGTGTGCGATTTTCCCCCTCCTACCATTCCCATGAATCATGAACTCATTTCATGATCAGTTTCACTCAAGTTGCCTTTCTCTTTCAAATTCTCAACCACTTCCTCCCTATTTGTCAAAATTAAATCTAGAACAGCCTCTCCAAGCGCTTTCTCCATCTTCTGAAATAAATGTGTCTCCAATAACTTGATGCATAATCTGTGTTTTCCAACAGATATCTGTGTAGTCAAAGTCCCCACTTCACAATCAAGTCCTGTGCTTTGGATGATTTAGTTTAAAAAAGCCTTTACCACTCCTTTATAGCCTCTTTTTTTATCTTTACTCAGATGTTCAACAAGTCTGTGTCCTATTTGTGTCAACCTCAGTCAAACTGTATCCATTTTTAATATATAAAGCAACGCCTCCCTTTTTTCCCCCTGCCTGTCTTTCCTGAGCAAGTTGTAACTTCTATACTGATATTCCATTCATGTGCATCATGACCACCAAGACTCTGTGGTGCTAGCTATTGCCTAGTTGTTTATTTGCTAGCATTCTGAATTGTTACTGCTAATTCCTCATACTTTTCACATCTCATTGAATCTGTTTATAGATTTCCAGAAAGCTGCTATCCCTGTGGAGTTGGGGAAGGGTAAAATTGTGTGACGGTGACCGTTGCAGTGGTGAGGGATGTGTGTGCCTGAGTGGAAAAGTAGAATGTCTGGACTGTTAGATGCCTTATCCTTTTGTTTTCCTTGCTTTTGTGGTGTTTTCATATGTATGTAATGTTTGTTCATACTCTACGTATTGCGTGCATGCATTATATATGGGAAAGGCACTTCCATGATTAATGTAAAAGGCACATTCCCTAGCTTTCCCATCATAGGAGATTATTTAAATTATTTATGTAAAGTTTATTTAATGGAATTCTATTGGTTTTATTGAACTCGACAATAAGACTTGTCCCTCAATCTTACTATCCACTTCTGCAGTCTCCACCTCTGAAAATTCTCTTGAAGGAATAGGCCTCAAATCAGAAACAGAATATCTTGTATTTATTGATCCTCTAAAGTTGGATGAGAGGGGGAGTGAAGTCCTGAGGTGTCTGACTTTGACATCTTCAATTCAGTTCACAAATATAACCCATTCCCTATTCTATGCAGTTGACAAAATACATTGGCTTATAAAGTATCTATGACAAAGGCTGACATTCAGACTGACAAAGCATTCTGTGAACAACTCGGGCTGGCTCTTCTAACCCAGAGATAGGAATATGTATTGACAAAAGGTGCTGCTCCTTTCCTTTAATATAGCTGAGCCTGTAATAGATCATTTTCATCTTGTTTTAACTGTGCAAATATTTAAAGAAAAAATTAAATAAGGCTCCTGTATATGGTACTTCAGGGGTACTTATTTGTATGATTTAAAGTCACAAGAAATTAACATGGATGTGAAATGATTGAAGTTCTTTAAATAACATACTGGTAGGTTTTACTTTGGGCAATCACTAGAGACATTCATTTTCAGAATTTTAATGCATTATGTACCAGGGTGAATACTCATAAAATTGACAAATGCTTCTGTCTGCTGTCCCAAGAGAGAGGTTTGAAAATATAAGATTAGACAGCTGCTGCAGTGTGGCAGAAAGCTTTTGCTGCTTTGTGTGGCTGTCAGGCATAATAAAAACTAATTCAAATTAAGATCAAGTAATACTGGTATCCTACAAATTACAAACCAGTTAGTGGATTGCCCTCACTCTCACTTCCTAACTGATAGCTAATAACTGGCACCAACTGTGTTAGTTGGTTTCCCAAAACTTTTTCTTTGGAAAAGAGAATTCTGTTGAATTTCCAAGGCAGCAAGAATATTCCATCGGATTGTAACTGTGTCCAAGGCAACA